CTACTGCCTGGCTCCCCGCTGCCTGCTCCTGCTCCTCACACTGAGGTGACTGAGTCCCTGACTGAGCGTCGTGAGCCTGAGACTCGTGCTTCCACACCTGTTCGTACTCGTCGTGTCGCTCGTCCTCGTCCTCCTGCTGTCCCAGGCACTCACGGTCAGGCACTTCGTCCTTCCTCTATTCTACAGTGTGTTGTCCTGCCTGAGCCTCCCGCGTCCTCTCTTCCGCACGTTCCTAACCCTGAGTCCAACCTTGCTCGTGCTGCCAGTCCTACTGTCACTTGTCTCCTTGCTACTATCGCTACTGACCCTGACTTTGAGTCTACTGCAGCGTTTGCCCTAGTCACTGAGCTGGTCGACTTTGCAGCTAGGAGTTGTGTCGACTACGTCCCGAGTCTTGTTACGGAGTCAGAGTCTGTCTGTCCTCCGTCCGTCGGGGGTGAGCCTGCCCTTAGCAATGACGTCCTTGAGGACAGGCAGTTTGAGCTTGAGTGTCTTGTGGCCGCTTTACCTCGTTTTGCATCCATGCTGCATTGTCCTGGGGGAGACCCGGATGCACTTGACATCCCTACCCCGCGCTCTTACGCTGAGGCGATCGCGGGTGAGTACTCCTCTCAGTGGCAGACAGCCATGGATGCAGAGATGGCTTCCTGGAAGTCCACAGGCACCTACGTCGACGATGTTCCTCCTCCTTGGGCGAACATAGTCGATGGCATGTGGATTTTCAGAGTGAAGCGGCCGCCGGGTTCTCCGCCTGCCTTCAAGGCGCGTTACGTTGCTCGAGGCTTCAGTCAGCACCAGGGGGTCGACTTCTTCTAGACCTTCTCCCCCACCCATAAGATGACTACTCTTCGGGTGCTGGTGCACGTTGCAGCACAGCGTGACCACGAGCTGCACTCCCTCGAATTCTCCACAACTTTCTTGCAGGGCAGCCTTCACGAAGACATCTGGCTGCGTTGCCCACCTGGTTTCACTGGGTCGTTTCCTGCGGGTACCCAGTGGAGCCTCCGGCGGTCAGTCTACGGTCTCCGCCAGGCGCCCCAAGAGTGGCACAAAACACTGAGGACTACACTTGCGGCTCTTGGGTTTGCTCCTTCCTCTGCTGACCCGTCGCTGTTTCTGCGCACCGACCCTACCCTGCCGCCGTTCTACGTTCTCGTGTACGTCGACGACTTGGTTTTTGCTACTGCTGACACTGAGGCACTAGCCCTAGTGAAGGCACCCGGGTCCTCAGCACCAGCAGCAGCTCCAACGCCCGGGTCCTCAGCACCAGCAGCACCTCCAGTAGTAGGAGTACCTCTAGCAGCTCCAGCAGCACCAGCAGTACCACCAGTACCAGCAGTACCTCCAGCAGCGTCAGTAGCACCAGCACCAGCAGCACCTCCAGGAGCACCAGCAGCACCGCCAGCAGCAGTAGCACCTCCAGCACCAGGGTCCGCGACACTAGGAGCGCCACTCCGGAGACTGCAGCGCCGCGCGTACCACTCTCGGAGCCGCTGGGGAGAGGGCAGCTGCAGCGGCTGCAAGACACTCAAGGTCCTCCTGCCTATCCTCAAGGACAGACAGACTCAGACTCAGCAACAAGACTAGCGGCGTAGTCTAGACGACAGGCAGCAGCAAAGTCAACAAGCTCAGCGACTAAGGCAGACGCAGCAGCAGACTCAAACGACAGGTTAGTGACAACAGTGGCTAGCAGACGCATGACAGTAGGGTGAGCAGCACGAGCGCGGTCAGACTCAGGCTCAGCAACGACAGGCAGAGAAGACGTAGGAGGGGATGGCAGGGGAACACGTTGCAGAGCAGAGGAAGGACGCAGGGCCATGAGGTGTGTGCCGGGGACAGCCGGCAGACGCTCACGAGGAACACGACGACCAGTACGACCAGTGCGGACAGTGCGAACAGGCGAGACAGGACGAGACGCAGGCTCACGACGCTCAGCAAGACCGCCTGTTAGCTCAGTGTAAGGAGAAGGAGCAGGCAGCGGTGAGCTAGGCTGTAATGGAAGACCAGTAGAAGACGGGAGGCTAAGAACCTGGCGAATGACGGAGCCAGGCGGTGGCAGAGACGAAGGTGACGGCGGAGCGAAGAACAGTCGCGGCGGTGCAGTGCCACCAGCACCAGTAGCTCCAGCACCTCCTGCAGCTCCAGAACCTCCAGCGCCAGCACCCGCAGCAGCTCCAGAACCTCCAGCTCCGGCGCCACCAGCGCCAGCACCTCCAACAACTCCAGAACCTCCAGCGCCAGCACCCGCAGTAGCTCCAGAACCTCCAGCTCCAGTGCCACCAGCGCCAGCACCTCGAACAGCTCCAGAACCTCCAGCGCCAGCACCCGCAGCAGCTCCAGAACCTCCAGCGCCAGCACCCGCAGCAGCTCCAGAACCTCCAGCTCCAGCGCTACCAGCGCCAGCACCTCCAACAGCTCCAGAACCTCCAGCGCCAGCACCCGCAGCAGCTCCAGAACCTCCAGCGCCAGCACCCGCAGCAGCTCCAGATCCTCCAGCTCCAGCGCTACCAGCGCCAGCACCTCCAACAGCTCCAGAACCTCCAGCGCCAGCACCCGCAGCAGCTCCAGAACCTCCAGCGCCAGCACCCACAGCAGCTCCAGAACCTCCAGCTCCGGCGCCACCAGTCGTAGCACCCCCAGAACCGGCACCTCCAGCTCCAGGGCCTCCAACCTCAAAGTCGACAGCAGCACCTCCAGGTCCAGCAGGACCTCCAGTCCCAGCAGCTCCAGGACCTCCAGTACGAGCACCTCCGGGACCAGCTGCTCCAGGAACTCCAGTAGAAACAACTCTAGTAGCAGAGTCACGAGCTCCAGCGCCTCCCGCAGCAGGGCCCCTAGCTCCAGCAGCGCGACCCTGACGGCTAACGTACCACTCACGCAGCTGATGTGGGGAGAGAGGGACAGCACCGGCTCCAGTGCCTCCAACACCAGCGCCTCCCGCAGCAGGGCCCCCAGCTCCAGCAGCTCGACCCTGACGGCTAACGTACCACTCACGCAGCTGCTGTGGAGAGAGAGGGAGACGACGACGAGAGTGCAGCGGCGAGGCACCAGCGGAGCGACTACGGAGACGGCCGCTCCAGGGAGACTGCTCACCAGACGCCTCAGCGCCCCCAGGTGCAGCACCCCCAGACTCAGTACCCCCAGGCTCAGCACCCCCAGATTCCTCACGCCCAGGCTCAGCACCTCCAGGCTCCGCACCCCCAGGCTCAGCACCCCCAGGCTCCGCACCCCCAGGCTCAGCATCCCCCGAAGCAGCACCTCGAGCAGGACCACCCTCAGCAGGACCTGAGTCACCAGTGACCTCAACCGGCGCAGTCAAGGGAGGAGGGTCTACCTGAGACACACCTGAAGGAGCAGGACCGGGAGCGGGGAGGGGGTCTACCTAGGGAGCACCTGGAGCGAGGAAGAGCGGCGGGGGGGGGGGGGAGAGGGGCAGTGCGGTAGGGGAAGAGACGGTAAAAGGGAACCAACTCGTCGAACGTGACGTCCTGAGAGGGGAAGACACGGCGCGAGGTGGGGTGGTAAAACTGCCAACCAGGCGCGTCAGGGACAAAGCCAAGGAAGACACAGGGAACAACGCGGGCGGAGAGCTTGTCTGCGGTGGTATCGCGGACAAAGGCACGAGAACCCCAGACCCGGAACACCGACGCATCGCCAACCTCCCCCGTCCACCGCAGTGTGGGCGAGGTCTCCAGGAAGGAGACACGGGGCCAGAGGTTGAGCTGATGCGCGGCGTAGCGGACCGCAAACGGCCACAGAAAATGGGTGGCAGCCGCATGGACCATGGAGGTACGAGCGACCTCCATGAACAAGCCAATGCGGCGCTCAGCAACCCCATTCTGCTGCGGAGAGGCCGGAAGCGTGAACGTCTAGCAAATGCCCTCCCCACGACAAAAGCTCTGCAGAAGGTCGGAGGAAAACTCCCCACCTCTGTCAGAGTGCAGACGCAGGACGGGAAACTCCGTCCCGAACCGCTCGCGGAGCTGGAGACGGGCAGCGCGGATCCAAGGGATCAAAACATCAGGGACCTCACCCATGGTGTAACGCGAGTAGTCGTCAACAACCAGCAGGAAGTACCGCTCGCGGTCCTGCCCACTGACGCGGGCTGGGCCCCACACGTTCATGTGCATGGTCTGCAGGGGAGCAGTCGTCGGGGGAAACGAGGAGGAGTGAGGAGCGGCGCGCTGCCGCCCCTCGATACAGGGAAGACAGGGAGGAGCAGGCGAGGGTGGGAGGGGAGGGAGAACCCTGGGAAGACCAGAGACAAGGACACGGCGGTGCATGCTACGAAGGCGCTGCACCGAGGGGTGACCAAGACGGTGGTGCCAAAGGAGGGTCTGGTGCGACAAAGCGCGACACGAGCAGGGGGCCGCTAGCTGACCTGACGCAGACGCAGACAGCTACCTGAGGGGATGTTAGAATCTACTAGCAGGAATGAATGCAGTATGAAAGTGTTGGGTACAAGTATGAAACCCTAAGAGGGGCTGTACCCCATATTGGCTACCCCACTACAGCCTAAACATATATAGCATGCATATAATTTGACACTTATAGGGTACAACACTTCTAGGGTTAGTACTTGTACCCCAACTCTTGCTAATCCAATCATTCCTTCCTGCACATTTATTCTGACAGTTGGCCAATTAATGAGGTTCAACAATACGAAAGAGATACAAGATATAGGAATGGAAGGTGGCAAGGGGGTACACCACCAATAGATAGAAAACTAACATGACACTAGACTAACTAGTATAAATTCGAACATGCAGCGACGTTATTGTGTTGCTGCCCAACTCCACCAGCACTTCATCTAGTTTAGAGCACACTTCAAGACCTTGGTCTCTCAACAGAAAACAATCACCTTTTTTGCTTCCTCAACAAGCATCGAACCAAATAGGGTCGCTGAACTCCTAAACACAAACCACTAAAACACGAAACAGAAACGGTCTCACACAGGTGAACTGTCAATCATTGGTGTTATGCATCTGCATATTGTCACTTCAGTTGCCTTCAGCCAACGCATTCATGCGCGCAATCTCTGCTTCCAAATTTCTGGCTGACTCCCTTTGCAACTCCACCTGCTGGTCCACCTGACGGGCACCGGAGTTGCTGTGTGCGCCGCCCAGCGCCACCAGCACGGCTTCCAGCTCGGCTGCAATCACCCCCATGGCCGGCCGCGTGGCGCTCTGCTTGTCGGTGCATCGCAGCGCCAGCTGCACCACCCTCAACACCAACTCATCCCGCGCCTCCATGCGCGCGTCCTTTAGCCTGGCCACTGCCTCGCTGCCTCCAAATTGAGCCAGCTGCTGCTGGACCTGAAGCAGATGAAGATGGATGGAGTTTGATACACAGACGCTGGTGCATACAGGAAGGTTGTGGATGCGTGTGAGAGAACGAACAAAGAGTGGAAACATGGCTACAGCGGCACCCTTTCCATCCCCAGCGACGTACCCAGGAGAGAATGTGCAGTTGTTGGCCCGCCTCTTCATCGGAGGGAATGTCGCGAGGATTGGCGACGACTTGGCGACTCGTCATGAGCTCAAGCATGAGAATGCCAAAGCTGCACACCACGACACCCCGTGGACAGGTGGTGAGAGGAGAGGAGAGGTGAGGATTTGACAGAAGAGGAAAAGAAAGCATGAGAACCGCCCAACAACAGAAGCAAACCACCAGACGGGCATTAAAGGTTCATGGCTCACCTGTAGACATCAGTGGCAGTGGTGGCCCTATTGGATGCAGCATAGGAGGGATCCACATAGCCCGGTGTTCCCACCACTCGCGTACTCTGCAGTGTTGTGCCCTCGCCCTTCCTCACAAGCCCAAAGTCTGAAATCTTGGCCTGTTCTCATGCATAAACGACAAAGGATATGAACAGGAACGGATAGATGGTGAAATATGTAGGAGTCTGGTACCTTAGCTGGCACACACACACACGGCATGCAATACATAATGAGCAAATGGTGTGGAATAAGTAAGGACCATGAATGCGGGCAGGAATGGGTGGTTAGAAAATCCAAATAGAAACGGGCATTGTGGACGAAAGAGCTTAGTGTTTGTTCTGGTTCTTAAGTTCATTTTAGTCGCGCAGAGCTAGTCAGAGCACTGGAACTGGTCCTTGTCATATACTCACTCGTCTTTAAACGCTATATTGGCATGAACCCAGTGTGATATGTTGGAAATATTGTGGTTACTACCGACTACTAGGTGCTGACATTAGGCCTAATGTATTACTTACGGAGCCAAGTGTAATGTAAGGTTGGACACTTACCCCGGATTCAGTGGCACAATTTTTCTGAATCATTTTTCCACACTAAAAACTATCATTGCTTCGTATCACTAACTCAACGCTTACTGAGGCTTCTTGTTTCCAATTGTCGCAATGCTAACCAGTGGTTTAAGTGGGGTCTCCAATGAGCAGCAGTTTATCTGGTGCTTACTAAAGATTTGGTGGGGCTAAACCTTACACTTGATATTTACAATCAGTTGGTGCCACATGCTATGTCCCGTACTACGCCCTCGGCCCTAAGTTTGTTGCTTACCAGAGGACTCATTGGTCTTAAGAACTTAGGCTTTACCAAAGACTACGTGATAAGATCGGTACCCATGGACACGGCGTTAAGTCTAATGGGCAAAGGTGCAATGGGCGCATGTGTCCTTGGCTGTTCACAGAGAGAATGTGGCGACTTGTGAGTCGACTCAAAAGTCACCTCGTCCTTGGCTGTTCACAGAGAGCATGTGGCGTAAGGAAGTGGGAAGCTGTGGTAATGACGCAACCTGACTTGCGTGCATGTTTTTTGGTCGAGCAGGATGTTGGCTGCAGAGCGTGCGGGACAAGAAGCTGAAAGGCATGAGCATGTGAGCGACACAGCCCTGCAGCATGGCTTGGCTGCATGGTTTGGTCGAGCCCCACTTGCCTGCATGTTTTGATCGAGCAGGATGTTGGCGGGCTTGATGTCGCGGTGCACGATGCCGAAGCTGTGGAGATACTCAAAGCCGCGTGCCGCCCCCACCAGCACTCCCACCCGCTGCTCAAAGCTCAGCGGGGCGAGTGCCTCTGGAGGGCCCAGCGCATAGGGATGGCGGGCAGAGGGGATGGGAACGGAGCGGTAGAGAGGGGAAAGAGACCATGAGAAGCAGGCAAAGCAGGAAAGGAGGCTTGTATGAAGAGGCATACCTGCATGGCCAACTAGGTGGGGAACCCAGAACTCGAACATAACTCTGGTTAATCGAACACTTTCCAAAGCACCTTACGTGCACGTGTTAGAATGCACACCTTTCCCGATCCAGTGCGAGAGGTCCTTGTTGGGCATGAACTCGTAGATGAGGACTTGCTCCACCTTCTTCCTGTTGGTAATCCCAATGGCGAAGCCCAGCAGTCGCACCAGGTTGGGGTGGTGCTTCGTTGCCATCTCACACACCTGGCAGAAGAAGCGGTGAAGCACAGCGTGATGTGAGAGAGAGAGAGGTTGTGCAAAAGGAACAGTCATTGGGCACACCCGGAAGTGAATGTAACACGATTGGATGGGCCAAGGCCATGCCACGCAAGTAGATTCTACAGCACAGCATCCAACGCTGCAGCACAGCATCCAACGCTGCAGCACAGCATCCAACGCTACAGCACACACACCACACTACAGCATGCAAAATGTGTGGAGCTTATTAAATGTTGACCACATTGGGTTGCCACGGGGAATGAAACAGGAAAGACGGGGTTTCAATCAAACGAGAAAGGGGGTTCAAACAGAAAGCACAAAAAGGTGCTTGCACTGATCTCAGATTGGTTATTGTGAGATGTATGGGGATATTGCAAAGAGGGCGAGAGAGAGAGAGAGAATAACTTCTACGTGCGTAACGCTTTCACCTTGCATGCCTGTACACTTTGTGTCAATCAATGAACGGGCCATTTGAGAGAATAACTTCTAACTTGTGCCCCTAGCCTTGCATGTGTTTTTATTATTTCTTTCTTGAGTAAAAAAAATACTACAATACAGAGGTTTACACCTCAAGCCACCATCCAACGCATCGTGCTATCACATCACACCACAACACATCACATCACATCACACCCACACACCTCGGTGTCAAAGTCGTTTGTGATGATCTTGGCTCGCTTCACGGCCCACTGAGTGGCATCATCGGTGGGAGAGACGCCGCGGTACACATCACCATAGGCCCCTGCCCCCAGCAGGTTGTCCTCGGACCATCCGTTGGTCGCTTTCACCACCGCCGCCAGCGAATATTCCTAACACACCTGCGCTGCCGCCTTGCTGCTCATCAGCGCTGCAGGGAGGAGTAGAGCAGACGCGAGAGAGCGGGGAGGCAACGAATGCAGCGCAGAGTGGAATAGGGAGGCATCGGGATGTGATTCTAAGAGAATGGTGGATGATTGAACAACGAGCACCCTTCCCAACTGATGACGACGAAACATGTGCGCATCCTTGTGACAAAGAGCGGACTACTGGAAAGGAAATCCATCTGAGCGACCCCATTGGTGCCCACCAAGGCTGCAGAGAAAACTCTTGAGAATTCTCACAAGGGCAAAGAGGTGAGGCGAGAAAGTGGTGGCGCAATGAGCAGCAAGGAAGGAGGTGAATGGAGGTGGAACGACAGTCACAGACGCAATCAAGTGACCCATAACTGCTCCAGAACAATCACAGGGCAGGCACATGGCTCGTCGGTGCTGTGCCAGGCATGCAAGGGCAGGGCAGTGTGAGGTGGGACGGAACGCACGTTTGTTGAAGCAGTAGACGTAGATCAGTACAGCAAGCGCCACAGTGAGAAGAACACCAGCCGCGATTGCTGCGATAGCCCACCTAGATTGTGGCTTGCGCTTGTCACCTGCACACGGAGCAGCGGACTCCAACCCAGCATGTTCAATCAGCTGACAAATGATTGATTTGAATCCAAGGCGCAGCAAAGCTGCTCGGTGCACAGCAGAGCAGCTCGGAGCAAAGCAGAGCAGCTCGGAGCAAAGCAGAGCAGCTCGGTGCAAAGCAGAGCAGCTTGGTCCACAGCAGAGCAGCTAAGTGCTTGGATAAAAACACAGGGAGGGAAGCGAGGCGGGGCTCACATGTGGCGCAAAAGTCAGGGCAGGTGCGGCAGAAGGCAGAGGACTCATTCTGAGGCACACCGCAGCTGCTGTAGCTGTCAGGGCATGTGAGACCACTGGTGTTGGTGTCTCTGAGAATGCCAATCCAAGGAGGGGGCGAAGGAAAAAGGGGGATCACGATCATACACGGAGATGCTTTGAGCCTCATCCCTTCCCTCGCCTCTACCTGCTCTCCTCTGCTCCGCTTGGCCCTCCATTGCAAGGCTCAAACGACCGTGGCAGAGAGGATCCCACCCTCTTTCCCTCCCTTCCACCTTCTTTCCATTTACGGCATATTGAGGGTGAAATGACCCCTTTCTTCCTGTCTTACTGGAAGTCCAAGTGGTTTGGTTTGGTTTGGTTTGTGTTGGTTTGGTTAGGTTTGACTTGGTTTGGTTTGGTTTGGTTTGGTTTGGTTTGGTTTGGTTTGGTTTGGTTTGGTTTGGTTTGGTTTGGTTTGGTTTGGCTTGGTTTGGCTTGGTTTGATTTGGTTGGGTTTGGTTTGGTTTGGTTTGGTTTGGTTTGATTTGGTTTGGTTTGGTTTGGTTTGGTTTGGTTTGGTTTGGCTTGGCTTGGCTTGGCTTGGCTTGGCTTGGCTTGGCTTGGCTTGGCTTGGCTTGGCTTGGCTTGGCTTGGCTTGGCTTGGCTTGGCTTGGCTTGGCTTGGCTTGGCTTGGCTTGGCATGGTTTGGTTTGGTTTGGTTTGGTCTGGTTTGGTTTGGCCTATTGGATTGGACCGCTTTGTGCATAGCCAGCCTTGGCTGCCCTCTTCAGTGTATGTACCCGTTAGCTAGCTGCCACTAAACTAGAGAATAGAATAGTGTACGTTTGTTTGATTATTACTTACAGGGTTGTAAGCTTGTCCAGCTTTCCAAGGGCTGGAGGGATGGTTCCTTCCATATAGTTGGAAGCGACGTTTCTGCACTCATGCAAAGGCAAGACAGATGATATTAACGAGCGAGGAAAGAAGAAGTCGTGGGGAATGAATGAAAAGATTTGGAAACACTGGATGGGAGCAGTTGGCCATGGCTACTAAGTCTTGAGTCGACTCGAAAGTCAGCTGTATGAGAGCAGCTTGCCAAGGCTAACACCGTACGGCAGGGGTATCAGCGTGCAAGAACATCAGACGGGCTGTGTCGTGTCGTGTGCCGTTGTAACGAGGTGGTGACTGTTGAGTTGACTCAAAAGACTGGATTGAAGTAGCTTGCTGTGGCTACTATGACAAGGGTATCAGCGCGCAAGAACATCAGAAACACCCAAGTGTGGTGGAGGGGCTATGGAACAGAATCTATCACCACCGATCGCATCATCGGTGGGTATGCAGGGGAAGCGTGGCAGCAAAATGAAGTCACAATATGACTGCGCGGGATATGCACATGTATGCCACTGTGACGGTCTCAGAATGCATGTCTAGAGGGAAACGGTGGATGGAATTGATTTATAACATATGCGGTGATGACACTCACAGGCTGACCAGGTTGGTCATGGTTGTGAGAGATTCAGGTAGACTGCCTCTAAGCGCGTTATAGGAAAGATTTCTGATGGCACATGCATGGCATGAGGGGGAGGCATGGAGCATGAGAGTGGGGCAGGGAGCATGAGAGAGAGAGACTTGGAATGGAAATATGAGGAGATTTGTTCCGATTCCACGAATGCAAACAGCAGCAGGAGCAGGAGAAGCTTCACAAGGAGGGGATCGTACCTGCGTGTGCTGATCTGCGTTCAAAGATACAGGGGCAGGTGCAATGGCACTTACTTGTTTAACATGCGCAGCACAGCAAAGAAAAATCGCTTCTCAGAAATCGCGGCACGTACAAGAATTGCAAGGTGGGCAGGGTGATGTTGGGCAGCACTTGGTCTCCCTCCAACATAATGAACGAGAGATCCCTGTCGGTTGATGATGCAAGATTTTACACACATGCAACAAGGATGCACACGCAGGCACGCGCACGCACGCACGCACGCACGCACGCACGCACGAGAAGCAGGTATCACGGGCATGATGATGCAGGCACAGGAGCAGCACATGGCAGAGGCTGATGGATAGAGGCAGATAGGCAGGCAAACAAGTGGGGGCATGGTCATGGAGTGGAGTGACCTTCAGAGAGGCATGGCAGTGAGTGAGGAGAAGAATGAAGCGGAGTGCTTGCCTCAGCCTCATGTCCGCTTCATTCTTCTCCCCGCTTCATTTAGAATTGTTGGAAGCACTGCCTGTTACACACTTGAATCAAATTGCCTTGCATTGATTGACGCCATGTCCGTTCTTTAGGCGCCTACAAAAGAAAAAAACGCCATGTCCAAGTGCATCGACAGAGGAGGCAGGTCCCTCCCTCCATGCATGATGTGCGCGCCTAGGGTAAGGAATGATGCAGCGGAATGGAATGGAGGGGACTGACAGAGTGGTGAGGCTGGAGAGACGAGCCAGGTGCATGAGGCTGTCGGGCTCGAGTGGGTTGGCGCTCAGATTCCTGCCAGGCCGTGCACCACGTGTGTGTGTGGGATGGGTGGGATGGGTTGGAATTGGAAAGGCTTTTGAAGGGACGCACAGGCAAATCATGGCAGTGATTGGGGATGCAACATTGCGACTTGCGAACGTGGGCAATGGAATGGCGTGGATTCACATGGTGGTGATGATGATGGTGATGATGACTATGGCAACAGCAAGCCTTTTGAATGAAGATACTCAGCGTGCTTGAGTGGAACTCATTTGCAATTGAGACACTGCCACAAGGATGTACCACCACTGGCAATGACTGAGACAACGCTCAAAGAGATTCCATAGCGCTCAAATGCATACCTCTTCCTCATTTGCTTGCCACACGAGCGAAGATCTGACTTTTGAGTCGACTCAAGAAGCATAGCAATCGAATGCATAAATCCTCCTCATTTGCCACACGAAGATACAGCAGCAGGGCAGGCAGGGCACATGACAGGAGAATGGCGCACAGTTTTGCGAGTGTGGGGAAG